CATTTGGGCGCTGGCTCCCCAATTGAGCGTATCATCGATGCTGACGCATCGCCCGGGGTAGGCCTCAGCCATCGCCTTCATGAACGAGACCCACCCGCGCATCAGCGGGTTATTTTCATCGTCGTCTTCATTGCGAAAGGCGGCCACTTCACCAATCCCGTTCGCATCCACGGCAGGAAGATCGTAGCCGTGTTCCTTGCGATCATTCTCGAGGTGAGTCGCCTGCTCTTTCAGAGAATTCAGCGTGGGAAATCGGTTAAGGGCCTTGATTGCCAGAAACGCTCCAGGGATGAAAGAAAGTGTCGGCCTGAGCTGCAGAAATCCCTTGAAGAACTTCGCGGCTTCAGCCGGGTTGACCACATCCCTTGACAACTCAATGGGCGACAGCTTGGTGAGGTCGTTGTGTTTGATACTCGTATCGGTCCTCAACCATCGCTGTTCCGCAGTCGAACTGCTGTATCCCATGAGATTTCGATTCCAACTCGCAAGAGGCGACGGAATGTAACAGGTTCCCATGAGACGGAGCGTATCGTTGCTCAGTGTCTCTCGAGACCCCTTAAAGGTTTGCGCTTGGAAGTGCATACAGTGGCGAGCCAGTGCCATCGTAAGGTCCATTTTCTCGCGGACCCCTGCGGCATCACCGGACAACGTTGCCACTCGGGAAAATGCAAGAGCGCACATCACCCTGTATCGGTCGATGAAGTCCATAAACTCTCGGGGGTACTGCTTCCTCTGCTTATCCGCAAGCGGATGATTAGAGAGGAGGAAGGAGTCAACTAGTTGATGCAGCTTTTGGTCGAAACCAGAGTTGCATGCCAGCTGTTCGAGGCGCTGCCAAATTGAGGCCTGTGGGATCTCTTGGACCCCGATCTTCAGCATCATTGCTTTCATCCTCAATCCTATCGGAACGTCCTCGGAGCTGTTCCCACCCCCAGTAGACTCATCTCTCGGGGTCTGAATCGGGACTGGGGCTTCATCGGCGCCCATGTTGGCGTCATCCTGCTCCGTAGGGATCGGCGGAGCAGGAGGCCTTTCCGTAGTTGGCGCAATCGGGCCGCTCGGAAGGCCTTCCCCGCAAGGCGAGGGAGATTTCGGCTGAGGTGATCGGGCAGCCGGTGTCTTGGCGGCAGCCTTCTTCGGTGGCTGCTTGTTCTTTCCTCCCATCGTTCAGCAGCGGCGGCAGCGCGGAGAAGTTCGCAGCCCGTGGCAGCTACAACCTGTCCTAGCAGGGAGCGCAAGTGGGCTATGGACTGAGTCGTAGTAGAGGTGGTCTGCGATGGTCGGTTGATGAAGGTGATCCATGATCGTTGCCCTTAGAGCTCCTTACCAAGCTATAGTCAAGTGTGAGTGTGTAAGTATGTGCATGGCCTTGGCGTCTTTGTTTAAGCAATCGGCAACGCGGATTGCTGTGAGCCAAAAACCGCAGAATTCATGAAATGTTCTAGCACAGCCCACAATGCAAATCGAAGCTCTTTCGGGTCGACCCTTTTGGCCTTCTTGTGATTGCATGCAAGGGCAGGCATGAAAATCTCGCACATCCACGCATGCTGAGAACATCGACCAGAGCAGCACGAACATAGCTTAACTGGGCAAAGCTCGTGCGATTCAGACCATCGTCTTATGTACTCCCTACCCCACAATGGGTTTCCCTTCGGTACCACAAGGAATGCAGGGATTCCAGATGACCGGGCAGCGGAAGCACACCCGAGTAATTTCTTGGCTTCCCATCCTTTTTCTTTGAGGTCGCCCCTCATTTCTTTCCAACCCCTGCTCTTGAAACCGGCTTCTCTTTTGTTAGCGGTGCCAGCAATCGGAACAGTAACAATACATACCGCAGGCGTAGGCGGAACCCTGATGTTCGAAATAGCAATCCCCTTTGCATTATCGTCGAGACTGAGATTGATACTTCGAGCATGAGGGAATCGGATTATGCCTTCGCCTCCGATATGAATACATTTTATGGCTGCTCCGAATTGGTGAGCATCATCAATTGAAATACCCCCCTGACGAGACATGTCGAGGATGAAATCGTTGAAGGGACTGTGACCAGTTTCAAGATGTACCCCCCTGGTTGGACAGACAGAGGGGAGAGCAGAGAGAGCGGGAGCGGCAGACAGCATACCAGAGGAAATAAGAGTACCTTTACGAAAATGACCAATAGACATAAGGTTGCGACCCCACACTTTAGCATCAGTGCAGGCCTTGGTCAGGATATCACCAGCCTCAAACTGAGAGGGACACGTCACAAACAGAAAGTCACCAGCGTGGTAGCGTTCATTCAACGCAGAAATATCGATACGCTGGGTACGAGACATATGACGCATATTAGGATTGTGACCAGTGATAATGACTCGGATGGCAGCTTCATTGTCTTCCATGACACGCAAACGGAAGCGACGGCCCAACATATACTCCCACATGGAGAGAGCGGGCAATCCCAGTTTATAGACGGCGTGATCAAGGGAGACAATTTCGGCTTCGGGAGTAGACTTCGACACAGAAGTCTGCTTCTTGGACAGCGCATTAAGAGGCATAAAGCTACGCGGGCCAAGAAGACACATGAATACACCAGACGTGCTCTTGGAATCAGTGCGGTCGCCCGCAAGATCAGCATCGCAATAGAGCACAAGCTCCAACATCTCGGGCGCATCACCAATCCAACCATATAAATTGAGATCGAGGGTGGAATTGATATAACACACCAAACGATGAAGCTTCTTGTCACACAAACCATCCCACTTGGTGATGAGACTAGCAAGTGCCTGCACAGGACGGATGAGATCGTACCGTCCCATACGAGCACCATACAAGATTTTCATCAGGACAGCGGCAGCGCAGTCACCGAGAACGCCCTTACCAGGAGGCACAGGCGTATCGGTGGGATGGCCCAACAAGCGGTTCACCTCGGGACGATCCGGATTAGTATCGAACTCCGGTCGTGACTCATCGAGAAACGGCGTGTCAGCCGACCGCAAATCAAAGCAAAGCAAGCGGTGCAAAGCAGGACAATCAGAGATTAAAACCGTAAGTTTGACGCTCAGCGGAAAGGCAACACTAGAACCCCCAGGCGCTAGCGGACCTTTTGCTGGACCTGACGCAGGGTCGGTCTTGAGCAGTCAAGCTGCGTAGTGAGACAAAGTTGGTCTGATTCCTAACCAGAAGGCAGAAGCACATATTCGCATGTCAGTGACAAATCACACTAAGTATCAGTGTTTTCGACAACATCGAGCTATGCATCAAAATCATCTGATGCTTGCCCCATCCTCGGGCCGCGTGTCTGCATATTGATTTAAACATAGAGGAATATGCAATGTACAGGTTTGTGTGCGTGTGTTCATACATACCTACGTACACATACACATGCACATACACATACTCATACACAGATAGACACAGCCACAGACACAAATACATATACATTTACATTTACATATGCATATACAGTATCTAAATACATATATACATATATATTCTATGTATTGTATATTTACAGAAAACTGCACAAAGACATGCTTCACTATATGCTACGACAGAAAGAACACTCAGACTTTGCCATGCCACCGAAATTTGCAATGTCAGCCGAAAGCAACTGCGTCCATGACGGAAGAAGCTTTAGCCTCTCAAAGGTCAGGAACAGCGTGCCCATGCATATGGGTATATATATATATATATATATACATTTACTTGTTTATTGTTTATATCATAAATATACGTTTATGTATACACACATGCATGTACAGATGATGTGTATCTTCTGTATTACCCGCTGCCCTACGTCGATTTCGTCTGGCCTCTGGAAGAAGCTCCCCCTTTGCTAACGCCTTAGGACTAGGACGAGAAAATGCGCATCATCCGATTAGAAGGCCTAATAGCAAGCCTGAAAGCCTTCGTGATAATTTCACGTCTGTGCCACTGACAGATGCGCCCGCTCGGCGCCAGCCGGCAACCTGCACAGAGCCCAATGCACAAATCCCCCAAAAAGATCACAGCACAAACAGTTCAACCGCTCAGCTTGCGGCGAGTGCAGCGAAACTTCTTGGCATGGCGAAGACTGAGAACCTACGGGGAACGGGGACACGATGGTAATCAGGAAAATGACTCACGTGTCACTTCCACGTCCACAGTAGTCTGCTGAGATGGAAACTGATTGCTGACGAAGGCATCTTCTGTTTCATTTGGCCTTCACCCGCGCAAATCACCCAGTGGTCGCGGATGAAAAACTTAAACATGACCATGGAGATTTGAGCTTTACATAACATGATAATAAAGCGGAGTCCTCCACTCAGTGGTGTCGACGAACTCAGAGTTCCAAGCCGGGAGTGGCTGGACCTCATGGAAGCAGCATCACGGGAACTGTAGCCCAACTGCAGGATGTCTAAGACCGGGGATGTCAGTCAAACTCGATGCTTGGCTGCATAGTCTTCCGATCTGATGCGTAGCGAGCGGCATACTGGTCCCGCAAGGCCTTCCACTGAGCGTCCACCTGGACGAAGTGAAGGAACGCACCGAAACGGAGCAGCTAAGCCAGGCACCTCTGATACATCGGGAGGCTCAATCGGCGGGAGGGGCTCGCCTGCGAACTGCTGTGCATTTGCCTAAATCTTGTCGCATTTCATGAAACTCCCACACCCCCGTCAAATCCTGAGTCCCAAACGTGGTTTGTATGCAGTAACCAATTCCGGCTGAACAGGTTCGTTCTGTTTCTTCTTGTCCTGTCGGGATCCGTATCACCATGCCGCATTATCATCTTCAGGTGAAGACAAGATTGTGCGCGAGTCTGTCGGAATTCCATGCTGTCCTTCTTGGGAGCCATTCGTTGAGAGTTCAAGCCTGGGCAAGAGTGCAAGGCTCTGTCAAAGGCTAGGCCTTGCTTCCATGTCCTTGGGCTTCGGCAGGATTCATGGGGCCAACATATCCGCAACCACACGAATATTATCTCCAGATACGCAGAGCTGCTGTCTGGTGTTTAATGCACAACTTGTGCCTTCGGTTGCAAAGACGTCATGTACACCCGGCTAAGGCGCCTGTCCAACCATGAGATGTGCTGGGCCTGTGCCGAAAGAGGAAGCTACGACGTGATCAGAATATCGAGTGCGCACGGGCACAAGCACCACTGTTGTAGTTTTCACTTTTTGGAGATGCTCCTGATGGAAATGCTGGTGCATGCGAGGCGACAAACGCTCGACCAGCATGGAACATCACAGAAATCAGAACCATCCAGCAAGGCAATCGCGCATGTCGCCCGCACCGTAGAGTGAAACCAAAAGAGTCTGTGGGATGCAACGAGTCCTAGCACCTAAGCGACCAACTTCTGTCAGTTTTAGGGTTGGCATCAGCTTTGCCGACGACCTTTCTGACGATGACTCCAACCGTTACAGACAAACAACTGCGACCGAAAAAACGCTGCAATCATAGGCAGCCTGCACACTGGGCAACTGACGCACAGTGGCGCGAGACCCTTTGTCAACTTATGTCACCGCTACCCAAAATCGCACGTGCGAAGGTCAGAGCTGGACACGGGATCACTCTTCAGGGGGCTTGGCCTGGAATGTCTCTACAGATGCCGAACTTGCGCAGCTGCACTTCTCACCAATTCACCAATGCATCGAAGAACTACAACAGTCTCGCGACAGCCAATCACACGTGGTTTGCGCGGCCTTCTGTCCGCTGGGATTGGACGTCTCCAAGTTTTCCAGCACCACCTGGTCCAACATCCACGACACATGGCAAACAATAAAGACAGGCAGCCACAATCGGAAAGATGCTAATCCTGCACGATTAATGCGAAATCCTCTCGGCATGACAGAATCACTGGCTACTAGCAGAATAGCTAGTGCTGAGCCAATCTTGGGGCAGCATATCATGCACGATGCCGTGTGCATGCGAGCTCGTGTGCGTTTGTTTGTGTGTGTGCTGCTCCTCGGATTCCACACAAAGCAAGCCAAAAGCTTGCACAAACTGTCCCAAACTCGGCCAGATGGTGATGTACTGAAAACATACAGCTGCATGACCTCATCTTGAAATCGACACTGAAGCTCGTGCCTTGTGCGCTGCGGCTATTCGATCTTGCAGGTAGGGTGAGCCTGGACACTCCTTGCACATTGTCGGCAAATGGACTCACGTTCCACACACACAAGCATACGCATCATCACAGAATTCCTCCGAAGGAGCGTTCAAGGAGTGCAATGTCTGGAAGCGCTCCTGGAATCGTGGACTCCGGCATCATGAAGTCTAAGCGAAGAAAGCAACTCAATAGTCCAATAACATTTTATGTGCTCGCTTTGGCTATGTGCTAAAAGCAGGATGATTGTATGCCGATGACAAATCTCTGCGACAACACCTGATATGATGGCAAAGGTGCCATGACATCTCCGAAAGTCTTGCTGGTGCGTGAATCTGTCGGAACATATTCCGGTCACGCCCACTGTTAAATCAGCATTTGAAAAACCTCTACGTTGTGGTTGCCTCGATCTTTGAACGGCTTGTTACACCATCTGCATCCAAGACCTCCGGGCCGGCAAGCGGTTCAGAAAGTTCACCAGAGCAAACCAGCAATTGAACCGGGCCTTTTTTGCCTCATCCAAGGACATTCGCCGCCTGGCAATCTTCTGTGCTGCGGCCGCGGCAGCTCCTCGTCCAGCTGCTGCTTCCTGCAAATCTATAGCTCCGGCTGATAGTGCTTTATGCAGCCAATCATATAGTGCTTGACCCATCCAATTATCAATTCTCACACGAACCCGGCCTTGTATGCTTCCAGTACCTGTTCAGATTGAGCAGCTGCGTATAACTTGCCTGTCCGTGCCAGGGGCATCACTACAGGGGCACTGCCCGTCCGATTGCTCCACCAGCAACCATTCCAATCCGAGCCTGGGCGATAGATCGTGTTCCAGACCTTGCTTGCCTGCCCTCCTTCCAACCAACCGAGCAACGAGAATTCTGACGAATGGGCCAAAAGCCATCGTGATGAATCCGACGAAGAGTTTATTGTCATGCAATGAATGCATCCGAACTCCCAAATCACACACTTAGTGTTTTCAGACAATCGGTTGGTTCTCTATGTGTTTGCCTTCTTGACGATGCCAAGCTTGATCCGGGCCCACGACATGCAGACAAACACACACTAACGAAACACGGCATCACTGCATTTGGCCGGACGGAAACTGCACTCCTGCATGCAGGAACAAAAACAAAACCGGCACAATTTCCCGAATAAAATTCCAACACTGATGCATGCAGCTTAAACGAACTGGCAGCAGCTCAGCGTTTACCTCCGCCACAATTGAATGAACAGTAGCATTCCAATGTGTGCAAGCCCTGACAGAATGAAAACACATAACCGTTCAGCCTCCAGCAGTTGGATCGGAAATGTGTTCAAAACCTATGGGATAGAAGGGTTTAGGGCTCAAAATTCACAAGGTGACCAGGTACAGCTGTCTGCACTGCTGAAGGATGAAACGGGGCCTTTAGGGATGTGAAGCACAAAAAAACATCATTTTTTCGCTTTTTTTGCCGCATATATTCGATGTCTGAAACTCTAAGCCGTCTTTATTTGTAAAAAAATAAAGGCGAATTTCTGAACAACTGAAGTGTGATTTGACAAGAATCTTGACACAAAGCTTCGACTCAGAATCCAACGGTTGGACCAAGCGTGGGCTTTAGGTTTCTTTTCGGGTTGCCCACACTTGGTCCAACGGTTGGACCAAGTGTGGCAGCGGGGATTTCCAGGTTGGACCAAGTGTGGACATCTTTAAGTTTGTTCAGGGTTGTCCACACTCGATCCGATCCAACGGTTGGACCAAGTGTGGGCTTCAGGTTCTGTTTTTTGAGGCTGTCCACACTTGGTCCAACACTCGGACAAGTGTTCGGGAGTTGGAGCATGAACATGCGCTTTGCAAAGAGGTGGTACGAGTGCTTCTAAATCTGCTCCGCTCCGGGATTCCAGCGTCTACCCCAAGAAAACTGAACACGCAATCACGAACAAAAAACCAGAACCACAAACTCAAACAAAACACAATTACGAAGACAAAAGAACAAAAAGCCAAACTTGATCGTTCGCTGGCTTCGCGAACAAAATAAAATGGAAGAAGAAGAATTCACGAAAATCGACAATCACGAACACAAAAGAAGAAGAAGCCCCACGAGATCGGTTTTTGCAAAGAAATTAAATGAGAAGACAAAAATAAATGCAATAAAACGCAGTCGAAACACGAAAAATTTCGCGAAAACAAACCATCAATGAAACAAAAACGCAATCACAAACATTGAACTTTTCAATTCAAAGTCAGAAATTCCAGATTTTGGAGTGGGAGTTAATCTCATCCAAATCGGGAGTTGGAATAAGCAAACGCGGGCGCTGCAGCAATGGTCCACATTGGACTGCCAGTCTGCGAGTTCCAGACAAAGCGCTTCCCGTTTGCAGAGCCAACGTGAGTGCTCGGGGGCTGCATCCAGCGACCCTTCGGCGAAGGGGGCTTGGGGGGGGGGGCGGAAAGGAGGAAGGCTTCGAAGGATTTGAAGGGGAGGACGAGGGTTCGAAGGCTTCGAAGGGTGGGGACGAAGGCTTCGAATGCTTCGAAGGGTGGGGATGAAGGAGTAAAACGCTTTACGGGTACGTTCCAAACCCTTTCACTGAACACTGATATTCGCTCGTCACTTTTCCTTGGGAGCACGGACTGTCTCGGGTGCTTCCCTTGAGCCTAAACACCACAGTGGAACATTTGTTCCAAGCTATACAAAACTCGTGGCAAACAGCTCAACTACAGGATAACAGGGCAACACACTCCTAAGCGAAATGTTTGTTACCCCCTCTTCGTTGCAGCCTCTTTCCTCTTTTCCTTTCCTAGAGGTGCTACGAACCCAAAACAGTCGCTCACTTCTCTTTTAAACACGTCGTGGTGCACTGCTTCGTGTTTTGTGAAACGTCAGAGACAAGAGCTACACTTACGGCCGCTCTCACTAAGCTCTTTACTTCGTTTCACTTCTTTGGCTTTCGCCACAAAAGAACTCACTCCTCGGCAGCTGTGCTGCAAACTTCCTTGGCCGCTGTGCTGCAAAACTCTTTGAGGATGCTTTACCCCCTCTTCTTCAAATCCCTCTTTCTTTATAGACCCGAGGATTGCTCTCTCTCTCTTTTCCCGCCTCCTTGTTTATAGACCTGAGGTACGGTCTTTCTCTTCTCCTGCCTCCTTGTTTATAGACCTGAGGTACGGTCTCTCTCTTTTCTCCCTCCTTGTTTATAGACCTGAGGTACGGTCTCTTTCTTCTCCTTTTTTTCTCTTTTTTCCTTTCAACTCTTTTGCTCTTTCTTTCCCTTTCCACTTCCTTTGGGATTGCCCGTTCTGTACTTCTTCTTCGAAGCTTCTAGTCGATTGGCGTAAGCACGCCTCACGACAGGCTCGTTCTTGCGAAACCAAATCGCAAAATCCTCTTTTGACATACCATCTCTTTGGCATATCGGCTGGTACTGTCCGTTGACGTAGTTAAAGTCGCCGTCCCAGCAAACATCTGCTGAATGCCCGAATCTCGAGCAAAGAGAGCAAACGACCGGTGCGGTCGCTGCCTCTGGATCCTCCTCTACGCGCTCACGTTCTCTCATCTTTTCGATCTCCTCTTCCAGCTTTTGGTTTCCTTTTTCTCAGTGAGGCGCAGCACTTACGCTCTTTCTCTTCGTGAGCTTCCACAACTCTTCGCTCAACTCGTTCACTTCTTTTTCCTTTGCTGCCTTGAGCTCTGCAAGCTCCTTCTCCTTTTGCTCTTTGAGCTCTGTAAGCTCTTTCTCCTTTTTCTCTACTTGAGGAAAAACAGAGTCCCACAACCCTCATTTCTTGAGCCATGATTTCGCACGGGAGTAGAGATCTCAAGTGAAACTGCAGACAAAGAGTATGACTGTAAAACACATGTGAAATACAAGTAAAATGGTGGGCACGCGTGCAGGAAAACTTTCTTCACCCCGCCTCGGTGAGATGCGCTGAGCATCGACACCGATCGAAAGTTTGCCACACCATAAAACAAAGTACACTAGTTCACGATGGTCTGCATTCGTAGTGTTCGGAGATAGTTACGCCACAAGCGGTAGTTACGCTACGTATGTACGATATTGGGCTCATATCTACACGGTTTCAGCTACGACTGTACAGCAGCTCTACGCAATCTCTGTATACCAAGCTTGGGCAGCTCGGCACACAAAGTCGCTTGACTCACCCAAGCGGAGGCGCTTCAAGAATGCGGTGACTCGTCACTGCGTCGAGGCCACCTTCGTAAGCACTCAAGAGGATTCATGTCGAAATTGCAGCATGCGTTTAACGTTGCTGCCACACGTAAAGATTGTGACAACTCTGAGTTGTCAGGATGTTGGCCATCCGCTCGGGGTTACGGCTGCTCCACAGCCGACGCATTCGGAGTTGGTAAATCAAGATTGGCACCAAAATGGTGCATTTCACCTTCAAGGACAATGCGCTGTCTGGCACATCACAAGAGTGAAATGTAGTTCACACGACTGTTGGCATAAGCCACATAATCATGAGCATCTCAAGCTTTGCACACACATCATCCGATGATCAATCGCTCCCGGAGGATCGAAGGACCATCTATGTACATGACAACCAATGTGTCAGCATCATGAGCATTTCGAGGGCACAAGAGTGCGTGTACGCAAGGATGCCATTCGATTTTGCTGTCACGGACGGCACACACCACAAGGCGTGTACCCCTGGTGCTCGGCATCGGCACGGGTCATCGACACCACATTGTTGGCACTATGCAACTTTCCACAGCCTAGCTTATGGAACCTGCGACCTTGGTTGGTTGCGACCCATACTTCCTGGACTGGCACGTGTTGCCTGCGAGGCCTTGGAGGCTTGGGCAATTGCTTTCTCGGTGCGTCAGTGCTGGACCCAGGCATGTCACGTCGTGCATGGCCGTCGCTGTCATCGTGATGACGAGGGCTGCTCTTGGCTTTGCTGGATGCACCACGGGATTGTGCTTGCCTCTGCATTCTGGCCTCACGGGCGGCATCTGTGATCCACTGTTCAGGATCGAAGCTTTCATCACTGCTCGTGCATTGCATGGGCATCTGCGGTGTTCCGGGAACCCCGCCTGCAATGGGTGTCAAAGGCCTTGTAAACTTCTGATCATTCACACTCACATCAAGCTGTCCACCACCAATGTGCACATTCACAGTGGGCTGACGACTGTCGTGACGGAAAACACAAGACGCAATGCACAGAACGATGCAAATTGCAATCACTTGGGCGGTGGCGCTCACAGCAGCTGGATAGGCCTCAACGAACGCAGCAATGTATGCAAAGACCTGCATCATCATGGCAAGGACTCCATCGAGGGATGAGGGCTCATCACTCCCATCATCCTGCCCATCATCTGCGCTCAAAGCACGTGTGGTTTGCAAAGTGATCAAGAAAGCTTGCAGCATCCTAATCATGTCCGGATCAGCCCCTGCAACAACAGCACGAACCTGCTTGTGCACTCTACACACCTGTACTGCGCGGGATTGCGCAGCAGCTTCCTCACGGCCTACAGGCGGCCTACAAGTTCATATCCATTCTCCGAGTCTCGTACATTCTTGATTCAAGAGGTTCTGAAGGAAGCGGGTCCGCGAGGGATTCAACGACTTTGTCATCAAGTCACTGATGTTGGTGGCTGTCGGCACTGGCGAACCAACGATCTCACCAAGCTGCACCCTCTGTTAGATCCAGAGGAGACGGGCATGGATGTGGCGAACTCGTCCCACTCCTTGCCGCAACATCATAGACCGGGCCGCTGAGTTGTCGACCAACACTCGAAGAGGCGCGACAGCACCTTCAAACAAGTACTCCACCACTGCGTGGATCAACAGTCCATCAATGGCACAACTGATGGCAGCATGATATTCTGACTCAGCGCTCGAAAGGGCGATCAGGCGTTGAGACCGGCTGGCAGAGTAGACAAGTTGTCCGTCCACCAGGAATGCCGATCCAGACACACTCTTACGAGAAATCTTGCAACCTGCCCAGTCGGCGTCACTGTAAGCTTCAACAACATGCTTGCCATCCTCTTGCACGATCATACCTTGCCCAGGCTGGGAAGACGAAATGCATTGGCACTGGCCTTTGTGCTGATGCAGATACCCAGTCAAATGTGCCAACTTGCACAGGGCGTGTTGCTTCCAACCCCCCCTCACTACTAGTACTACTAACTTTTTCTACTACAACGATTACTTCTGCTATTTATCATGCTACCAGTCAAAATGACAATGACTCAAAGAAAAATGACAGTAGCAAAACTGCCACTGCAGCTTCCACTAGAACTACGACTCCTAGTGCTTGCACTGACACTTGGAGTTCTACCACTCATAATCCGAGTAACGCGGGTACCAACACTGGTCCAAACTTGTACCACCGCATTTTGGGGGGATGAAGATGATTGCGATTAGGAATCTAAATTGTAATCGTGAAAGTGACGGAAGCCGGGAACCCGGGCACGGGGTGGCGATCACTATAGTACCCAACGGTTTGGTACTGTGTTTTGTTTTGGGTTTTGAACAAACCAGAATAGTATTTCGATTGTTTCCATGGCTCACCACCTCTTTCCTCAAGCTGCACCCCTACCCAATCAGGTGCTCGAGCCCCTGGGGTCCCGATTGGCATCACGACAGACATGTTTGTAACAAACATGTCTCCCGCGAGAAGGTGCAGCATCATTGAAAAGAGGGCCCAGGGTAACCGAGTCAAGCACAGCGGACCGTTGAGCGGTGGCAGTGGTGGCGGCGGTGTTTTGCACGGTGGTGGGCAGTGGCGGGGGTGGGAGTGGTGGGAGTGGGAGTGGCTGCAATTGCGGCGGTCCGTGGTGAGTGTGGAAATTGTGGGTTGTGGGTTGTGTTGGTTGTGGTTGTGGTGATCGCGCTGATTGTGGCGGTTGTTTTGCGGTGGTTGTGTTCGCGCGCAACAGCAGATCCAACCGAAGGTGGGTGATACCAGGCCGCAGTAGTGGTAGCCGCAGTAGTGGCAGCCTGGCAGCAGCAGCAGCAGTCGTAGTAGTGGCAGCAGCAGCAGCAGCACAGCAGCAGCAGCAGCAGCAGTCGTAGTAGTAGCGGCAACCACCGCGAAAACACCCAACCGTTCCCAACAACGACCAATATCGCGATGACACCGATGACCCGATGACGACGGACACTTGGACGACGAAAGTGAAATTCAGCAAGACTGACGACGACGCTGCGAGTGAAGCCTTAGTCGTGATAAGGCTCCATAACGACGAGAAAGATGTTGAGAGATTGGAAGCATGACCCACTGCCGCAGCAACAACAACCGTATCAGCGGCACACGTCGCCAACATGACCAGATGTGATCGTTGCTATGTTGTTGTTGGTGGTGGCCCCATACAACTGGCGAGGAGTTTCATTGAGGCAGCCATACATGCCACAAGATTTCGTGGATGTTCCATACTACTAGCGCGGATTTTTTGTTGATGCCCGATACATCGAGGTTCATGAAGATCCGCAGTAGCAGTATGGCGTTTGACGTATGGCGAACTCATAGTATTTGGCATGCATGAATCCTAACAACCGTTGCAGGTGCGAAAACGAGGCATGCAGCGTGGAGGTTCAGAGGCCGTGGCTCATAAACAAATCCGGACTGCAGGGCTAATCCCAAAAATCCGCAGTAGTAGTATGCAACATCGACGAAATCTTGTAATAGTCACCCGCGAGTCAGTGAACACTCCTCGCTCGTTGTATTGAGCAACTGCCAGCAACAAAAACCCAAACTAGCAGCATGGTACATCGGAAGTCAGTGCGGCTAGCCCACAAGATCCGTGCTAGTAGTATGGAACATCGACGAAATCCGCACTAGTACTATGGAACATCGACGAAATCTTGTAAACCGTATGCATGAGTCACTGAAAAAACTCCTTGCTTGTCGTACTCCGAACATCCGAAAGCACACATTGACTGGGTACTTGCGACGAGTAGTGGACCAGTGGACGACAATGCACCAAAAAACAACAAGATTTAGATAGTTTAGTTGACGATGCATACTACGCATGCTAATGTTTGTTACGATCGTCTGAACATCCGTACTGCGGCTTACTTGCCCCAGCAACAACAACAACACCCACCGCTTCTGCTAAGCCAAGCAGCTTCACTTCACATTCCAAGCGTCTGCCATGATCTGCATGTTGGTGCGGCAGCGAGACAACACGTCATTGCCCGGCCAGCCATCCAACTCGAACGCCGCCTTGATCGTCGCAAGCAGACCCTCAGCGGCTTCGGGAACCCACTTGTAGCTGATCCAGGACGCAGGAGCTTCGCATCGCTCCCAAACCACGACCAGCGGCGGCAGGTACAGCAGCTGACCAGGCTCCAAGGATATCTGGACGCCGCCTTTGATGACAGCCTCCTTCATCTTCTCATCCATGGCAATCGCAGCAGCAACCATTGAGGCAATGTTGTTCTGAATGCCAAGCTCCTGCCACCAAAACAACGGAAAATGATTCCAACCATGCACAAAACCTAGACATGCACAATCTTGCAGACTGCAACACACAGCAGAGCATTCCAAACAGTAGCAGATCATGCATCAATGTCCTTGCACGTGACGAAGAAGCTGTCCAGCGACATCATGACGATGTCCAGCTTGTTGTCGCCGAAGCTGTGCCGGAAAGAGGCAAGATCCAGGATCTGAAAGCTTGTCTTCTTTGCAACCAGACCAACGAAGCCGGGCACCATGAAATCCTTATGCGCATCCGCCAACTTCTCGGGCCGGGAAGTCGACGACAACTTTGCGTAGTAGTTGCCAAGCTTGCTCTCCGCTGCCCCGATCTTCATGAACGCCCTTCCGGTGTTCAAGGCAGCCGAGCTCCCCGGAAACTGGCTCATGAAGATGGCAAGCCGGGCCTCAAAGAAGGGCTGCCCGACGATCTCAACCGGCGTGGGGACATTGACCGTCACACACCTCGACACAGAAGGGCCGAGGTCGTCGAAGAAGGAGTCACCGTTGGCCTCCGTCACCTTCTCAATGCTCGAGAGCTTGCCGAAGAGCTCGACCAGAACATCAGGATTCGCTGTCGGACCCTTCGCCGCCGGTGCCTTGGGCTGGGCTTGCTTTGCAAGGGCCTTCGCCTCCGCTGCGGCCGCCCTCTTCTGCTTGTTCTCCTCCTCCTTTTCCTTGCGCTTCCGCTTCTTCGTCACCTCCCGGATCGCTTTGGAGGCTTCCTGCATTGCCACGGTCACGGACTGTGCCAAGGCACGCCATGTGCTCACCATGCCCTTCACCTGCTCCGCGGCCTTTGGCAGATCCTCGGCGCTTGTGATGCTTTTGAGCTGCTTCTGCAAGTCTCGAACGCTGCCCGCGCTCCGGAGCAAGGTTTTGTTTGGAACAGGCGAGACTTGGCCCGTGAGCGCGTTCTGCAGCAAAAGGTCGCGCTGGCTCCAGCTGTCATCCTTGCTCAGGTCGTCGTGAACTAGTTTTGCCAAAACCAAGCGCTCGCAGACTATGCTTTTGTAGTCTTGCACGATACCCTCGCCGTCGATATCGTTCACCTGCATCAGACGACATGAACGTAAAACATCCCGGCACATGACGGTTTGTGCATGAGGCAGCAGTGACGAGCAACCAAGAGTAGAGATCAATCACATCGCCTACGCCTACCAAGCAGCGACACAGATCCGTTCAGTTGTCCAGTCTTGAGCTTTGAGCCGTTGCTGTTCGGCGTCGTAGCAGTAATGGATTTATCGTTTCGGGCTCCATATTGCAGTTACGAACAACCTAGAGTTAGAGATGAACCATTTTCCCCACTCATTTCGTCTTCATTTCGTCGCAATGATCCTGCCTGGATGTTGCGTTAATTTCGTCTTCATTTCTCGGCATGAGACCGACCCGCATCACGCATGGATGTCATTGCGTTCATTTTGTCTTGATTTCGTTGCAATGATCCTGCCTGGATGTTGTGTTAACTTCGTCTTCATTTCGTTGCAATGATCCTGCCTGGATGTTCTTGCGACACTGGCAGTATTTCTTTGTGCGTGCAACCAAGCTGTCGTCCAGTCTTGAAGCTTCAGTCTTCAGTGCTTCAGCCAATGCTATTCGCATTCATGGATTTATCGTTTCGGGGTTCATATTACAAGCTGATGAGGATCAACCAACCAATCCGAAACCCTTGCAACGGAACCAAGCGCCTCCTTCTCCACCTTGGCGATTGTGGCGCCAAGGGTCTCGAGAGCCTTCTGGAGCTGCTCCCCGGTCTCGTCGAAGGCCTTCAGCCGCGACACTGTCAGGTCACCGCCAACGAGTTTCTCTTTCTCTCCGTTCTCTTCGTCTGCAGCTGCAGCAGGCGCACTGGAGAGGGAACCGGCGGAGGCGTTGGAGCCTGTGGAACCCCGTCGCTTTGGTCTCGCTTCAAAGAACTTGTTCGCCTCAGACGAGAAGAAGTTCGCGGGTCGGTCGTCAGCGGTGTCCTCGAGGAAGGATTCCTTCGCGACCTTCGGGGAGGCTTCGTTGACAAGCTGGTGGGAGACGCGGCGGCGAGCCTTGGAGTCAACGTAGTCCTCCTTCCTCACGAGCAGTCGTTCTGGAAAGGCTCTGTTCTCGCCTTCCAGGTCGTAAGCGCCCTCTGCAGCGAGACGGGTCCGCCATTTTGTCTCGATGTCTTCGGGCGAAAGCTTCTTCTGCGAGTAGAAGGCCTCAAAGTCAAACCAGTCCATCTTCGCCATGCGCGTGCCCTCGTCGGAAATCTGCTCGTTGGCGATGATCTCGAGAGCTCTCGACTTGGAGTACTGCACACGGGCGCGGCCTTTGCCTTTCGACGGGCACTCCAACTGATAATCCCGGACCAATTTCCGGAAGGTGCGCTCGTTGCGCTTCGCATCTTCGTATTTCTCGACCCACCCATCGTCCTTCGCGGTCTTCGCCAAGCTGTCCACGTCAGCTTTGCACTTCTGACAATACGGATTCTTGCCAGTGCAATCTTCGCACTGGCAGATCATGCACTTGAGGCCACGGTACGTCTCACGTCCCGGAGCCTTCTTTGGAGCAGGAACCCCGAGCACACGGGCCTCACCTGAGGCCTTCGCCTTCGCCTTTGCTTTCGACTTGGCCCTCCGACCAGTGGAAGCTGCATTGCCGAAGGCATCAGCAGCTGCAAGAAGCCCCTCAAGCTGCTCGTCACCCTCGAACTGCACTTCCTCTTGGAGAGGCCCTTCGAGATCGGCCATGACTCAGCAGCTACACACTACAAGAAGCTGGTGTCGTGCGTCCTGCCTAGAATGCCGGCCAAGAAAAGTGTCCTGGATCCCTGCCTGGAACATGGGATTGTGCAGCCCTGCCTGGAGCATGAGATTGTTGCAACTCGCAGATATTCACTTGCCCAACTTGCTCCATCATTCAACCTATGAGCCAGCCACCTGAGTCACTCGATCGATCATCCACTGCACTGGCTGCACTGGCACAGCGATTCACTGACTTGAAGTCTGGCCCCGCAAGGACGGAAGGTCTGGTTGACAAAGCTGCCTTTTTTGCACGGAACGCAGAATCCATTGTACCACCGTGTAGTACAACTAGTCTGAGAAAACTCGCGAACAAAACTCTGAACGACGCTGGAGGCGCTGCTTGGAGGAATAGGATCACAAGTAAGGTAACTATAGCTCCAATTCTGTATAAGACCAATTAAAGTATCTATAACCCTAGTCAGCCTAGTTACTGAGTCCCATGATACTCCAGGGCATTGGGGCGGGGCCCAGAAACCAAATCAGATGCTTAGTGTGGCCAGGGCTGGGATCGCGGGGACTGGGGTCTGGCGGTCCATAGTCTAGAGTACAATCTATAGACTCTAGAACCCGAGGTAATTTTATAAGCTTTTCCCCTGACCCCGGACCCCTGACTCGTTATGGACAGCATCCTTCCTCCAACACTTCCGTCCGTGCAAACTGCTCGACCTGCAGACAGGCTTCTGTGCCGCTCATGTTGTACTCGGAGGCAGGCCTCCTGCTGTCTGTTTGCAGATGCTGGCCGAGCAAATTATGAATCATGATGTGTGCTCGTGTTGTGACACTCCTGCCAGGTAAAGCAACCTGTTCCAAACATTTGCAGATAGCAGTGGTGCTACTAAAGATTTGTGGATATCTGTTACAGGCAATCTGACAGTCTCCTGGCGTAGGATGAACGATGCTGTCAAGTTCGTGGCTCTCCAAAGTCTACTGTCTACAGAATAGTCTACAAACCCTGGGGCCCCGGTCACAGTCTGAAAGCATTACCAGGTGTAGTAACTCGTTCGTGACAGCATCGTTCCTACAACACGAGCAGCAGGTAGGCTGGCCTCTGTATGTTACGCATGTCCAGCTGACTCTGAGAAAGACCGCGTGAAATCCTTGCTTCTGCAATCTGCAGGTAAAGCAGACTGTTCTTCTAGTCTGCTGCAGCGTCAGCATCGTCAGCCGTGATTCTCAGCTCTGACGTGGACCGGAATCGAAATGAGGAAGGCGAGGCACAAGGCGACAGGGAGCCGAGTGCATACGCAGCCCATGTTCCAATGACAGCACGATGCATGGCAAGCTCAGAAACATGCTGTCAAAACATGGATCCACGGACTTCTCAAGCACGAACTGCTTGAGAAGACTCTTGTCCTCTAGCAGCGGGACGCCTTGCAGCAGCATGTGCTCTGCTGGCAAGGCCGTGCGCTGCAGCTTGTGGCTCCAGATCCTTGCTGCATATGGAAAGCAAGAAAGCAAAGCCAAAGTGTTTTCAGACCGAACGTACATTATCCCCCCTGGGCATGCAAGCGGCAATGATCCACGAAGAAGGCACGGGGCACTGTTTGCGACTCCGACCGTGGTCCACTCGGCGGTCTGGGACAAGTCGACCAAGAAGTCCTCGCCCAGCTCACCCCCGTCCTTGGCAGCGAGCTCCTCAAATTCCTCAAGCATTTGTCTATGCCGCGGAGTCAGCACTCGTCTGAAATCAGCTGCTTCGAGAGGGCCTTCTGCGTGGTAGAGTTTCTGACGGAGTTTGTTTCGGAAGTATTCCTCGACGATGTTCGGTGGCATAGCCAGTAGATCGCTGCCCGTCATGGCCGCAGAAGCACCGAAATGAAACTCGAATGCGAAGCGGAACAGTGCCATCGACGATGGACCAAAGCAGTGAAGCGCCTTGGCCGTCTCACCGGCCATCCAATGTCCAGCCTAGGTCAGCAGAACTGGTTCACTCCATGGCCCTTCAATGCTAGAGGATAACGCCACACTTGAACATCCATTTTGCGCCCAGTAACGGTGAAAGGGTGAACTGGAAGGCAGAGTACCTCAGCCACCGAGGCAGGGCACACACACACACACACACGCCCCGAGCACACGGGCCTCACCTAGGCCTTCGCCTTCGCCTTTGCTTTCGACTTGGCCCTCCGACCAGTGGAAGCTGCATTGCCGAAGGCATCAGCAGCTGCAAGAAGCCCCTCAAGCTGCTCGTCACCCTCAACTGCACTTCCTCTTGGAGAGGCCCTTCGAGATCCGCCATGACTCAGCAGCTACACACTACAAGAAGCTGGTGTCGTGCGTCCTGCCTAGAATGCCGGCCAAGAAAAGTGTCCTGGAGCCTGGAGCCCTGCCTGGAACATGAGATTGTGCAGCCCTGCCTGGAGCATGAGATTGTTGCAACTCGCAGATATTCACTTGCCCAACTTGCTCCATCATTCAACCTATGAGCCAGCCACCTGAGTCACTCGATCGATCATCCACTGCACTGGCTGCACTGGCACAGCGATTCACTGACTTGAAGTCTGGCCCCGCAAGGACGGAAGGTCTGGTTGACAAAGCTGCCTTTTTTTGCACGGAACGCAGAATCCATTGTACCACCGTGTAGTACAACTAGTCTAAGAAAACTCGCGAACAAAACTCTGAACGACGCTGGAGGCGCTGCTTGGAGGAATAGGATTACAAGTAAGGTAACTATAGCTCCAATTCTATATAAGACCAATTAAAGTATCTATAACCCTAGTCAGCCTAGTTACTGAGTCCCATGATACTCCAGGGCATTGGGGCGGGGCCCAGAAACCAAATCAGATGCTTAGTGTGGCCAGGGCTGGGATCGCGGGGACTGGGGTCTGGCGGTCCATAGTCTAGAGTACAATCTATAGACTCTAGAACCCGAGGTAATTTTATAAGCTTTTCCCCTGACCCCGGACCCCTGACTCGTTATGGACAGCATCCTTCCTCCAACACTTCCGTCCGTGCAAACTGCTCGACCTGCAGACAGGCTTCTGTGCCGCTCATGTTGTACTCGGAGGCAGGCCTCCTGCTGTCTGTTTGCAGATGCTGGCCGAGCAAATTATGAATCATGATGTGTGCTCGTGTTGTGACACTCCTGCCAGGTAAAGCAACCTGTTCCAAACATTTGCAGATAGCAGTGGTGCTACTAAAGATTTGTGGATATCTGTTACAGGCAATCTGACAGTCTCCTGGCGTAGGATGAACGATGCTGTCAAGTTCGTGGCTCTCCAAAGTCTACTGTCTACAGAATAGTCTAGAAACCCTGGGGCCCCGGTCACAGTCTGAAAGCATTACCAGGTGTAGTAACTCGTTCGTGACAGCATCGTTCCTACAACACGAGCAGCAGGTAGGCTGGCCTCTGTATGTTACGCATGTCCAGCTGACTCTGAGAAAGACCGCGTGAAATCCTTGCTTCTGCAATCTGCAGGTAAAGCAGACTGTTCTTCGAATCTAGTCTGCTGCAGCGTCAGCATCGTCAGCCGTGATTGTCAGCTCTGACGTGGACCGGAATCGAAATGAGGAAGGCGAGGCACAAGGGGACAGGGAGCCGACGATATACGCAGCCCATGTTCCAATGACAGCACGATGCATGGCATTCCCGGACAAGTTCAGAAACATGCTGTCAAAACATGGATCCACGGCCTTGTCAAGCACGAACTGCTTCCACGGACTCTTGTCCTCTAGCAGCGGGACGCCTTGCAGCAGCATGTGCTCTGCTGGCAAGGCCGTGCGCTGCAGCTTGTGGCTCCAGATCCTTGCTGCATATGGAAAGCAAGAAAGCAAAGCCAAAGTGTTTTCAGACCGAACGTACATTATCCCCCCTGGGCATGCAAGCGGCAATGATCCACGAAGAAGGCACGGGGCACTGTTTGCGACCGTGGTCCACTCGGCGGTCTGGGACAAGTCGACCAAGAAGTCCTCGCCCAGCTCGCCCCCGTCCTTGGCAGCGAGCTCCTCAAATTCCTCAAGCATTTTTCTCTGCCGCGGAGTCAGCACTCGTCTGAAATCAGCTGCTTCGAGAAGGCCTTCTTTGTGGCAGAGTTTCTGACGGAGTTTGTTTCGGAAGTATTCCTCGACGATGTTCGGTGGCATAGCCAGTAGATCGCTGCCCGTCATGGCCGCAGAAGCACCGAAATGAAACTCGAAGTCGGACTGCGAAGCGGAACAGTGCCATCGACGATGGACCAAAGCAGTGAAGCGCCTTGGCCGTCTCACCGGCCATCCAATGTCCAGCCTAGGTCAGCAGAACTGGTTCACTCCATGGCCCTTCAATGCTAGAGGATAACGCCACACTTGAACATCCATTTTGCGCCCAGTAACGGTGAAAGGGTGAACTGGAAGGCAGAGTACCTCAGCCACCGAGGCAGGGCACACACACACACACACACACGCATGAAGTTCGATCAACTACATAACTGCGACAAGGCACAAGTCTTCGAGCCCATCCATGAGATGCTCCACGTGGAATCGCATAACGTTCTCGTGCAGGAGCAAGTCTGGCTGGTGGGCTTTGAGGCCCTCCTTCCACCACAAGAAAGAGACCTGCGAAGGACCATGCGACCTGAGGGCCTTCTGGTTCATCGACGACCAATCGTAGCAGCATGTGCCACTCACTTGGATTTCCAAGCACCTTCGGTTTGTGGCCCGGGCAAGACAGGCCTCCGGCGCCAGAGCCGGAACATCTTGCTGTTTCCAGCGACAGAAGACTTTGTGGTCCAGTGGAAAGTAGCTGGACAGGTTGTGGTGGACTTCCGTCGCCAAGTTCTCAGTGCGGTTGGCAACAACTCAAGACAGAAAGCCTGGGCACACAAGCCCAAAGGCGAAGCCCTCAAAACCGACCCTGGTGAACAACTACAAATTCAACTGTGAAGCAGCTAAGGAAGCTTTATTTTGAGCAAGCGTCTTTCAAGAAGGCAGATCTCTCCTCGGCAGTCGCCTGAGCAGTTGGAGCAAAAGGCGCAATGTCGGACATCATGTCTTTGGACACAAAGTCCTCCACATAGCCAAAGAGATGCTTTGCACGACTTGTTGCCGACAGCGCCTGTACTGCATGAACATCCGGGTCGCAGACGCTGTGCACGACGGGTTCCAACAGGTCTGCAGAGTCTGTGCCCTCTGCAAAGTGAAAGTGCTCCTTTAGCGCGGTGATGGCATCAAGCAAGCCTTCCTCTCCATTGCCACACCCGCTATGGTCGGAGTAAATCACCATGCAGTTGCCATTGGCCAAGTGGGCTTTCCAGCCATATCGCAAACGTGGTATGCGATGAAGCTTGGCTGCCAACTTCGACGGCCAGTCGTAGAGGTCGCCGATTGTGCTGCCTGCACGATCCCGAATCATAACCCGCTGGCGCTTGCATGACATCCTCATTGGCCGTGGGGCCCAAAACCTTGGTTTCGGCACAGCTCCAACGAAATCAGCAATACACACCGAACAAAACCGAGTACAGTACATCTTGCAGCGAAATTCCGACACCCGCCGACTGGTGAAGCTATGATGGGTAGATGTGGTTAACACTCTCATGATCTCTCATGTGTACACCCCATCCCTCTGACCGCCCCTGTTACAAAGAAAGACGGATGTTGAGGTTGAAGTGTGCAATGAACATTGGATTTACAAGTTGTCTGTGCTCATCTTGACCGTGTGAGAATGGAATCTTGTAGCTGCTATCCGCGTTCATTGTGCCTCTTGGGTTAACGGCCAGTGGAAATTATTACCTTTAACGATCGTTCCCTGAAAAGCAAAAAATAGAGTTGTTGTTTAATTGGAGAAAGATGAATTCAGCCTATAAACACAACTGCGCGGCAGTAGGAGTTCTGTTTACACAAAACTGTGTTTTCTATTGGCCTTTGGGCTGCATCTTGAGTAGCCACATCGCGTCGGTGAGCATGTAGAATCGCAACCGACACCCGCCGACGTCCGAAAGTACGAAGCGCGCGCGTCATGTTTTTTCTGACGTTTTGCGGCCACCCCATCATGCCGTATTGGATGCAAACTTTTCTGATCGAACAACCGGTTTGCAGTCAATTCTTAAGTTTGAAAGCCTGAAACAGAAATCGGTGTTCATGTAGCATCATGTAGCACTTGTATCGACAATCTCCCCGAAGCTCCCCGAAGCTCCCCGAAGCTCCCCGAAGCTCCCCCTCAGCTCCCCGAAACTTTCCCCAGCTGCCCGCCACCTTTTCACAAGCCCAGCCGGACCACCACTTCCCAAAACCAAGTCCTTTATTACAACCTGCTCATGTCTGCATCACCCATTCCCATCGGATGTCTGGGGCACTTGGACACAGTCCCGGCTGCTTGGGCTCCCCGAAGCTCCCCGAAGCTCCCCGAAGCTCCCCGAAGCTCCCCGAAGGTTGTGGCAGCTCCCCGGACCTTTTTGCAGAACACGACACACCAGCACCAAAAGCTTGTCACGAGGTGCCGGGCAACCACACCCCAAAACAGTTCGCGCACAAAAGACCAAAGCAAATGGGGCAGCACTTCAGGACTCCGCAAAACTTGGTTTCAAGCTGGGGAACACACGATGTGGTCCTGGAAGCTCATGTTGCTCTGTTTCAGCGGTTCCAGCATGGCAATGAAGTGTTGTATTCGCAAAAGAAACTGGACTGTGTGGAAACGACAGACGTGCTATCTTACACAACATGACTACAACACTGAAAAGCCTCGGAACATGGCTGGCGGCTGGCAATGCATAGCACACATCAGCATCTATATGACCCAGAAGCGGCGGACTTCGCTCCTCAACGACAGATGCAGAGGTACTTCCAACGCCGCACCAGCTGCGCCCCTGACCCCAAAAAGGCTGCTGCTGCTCGGCTGAGCACCTTTTTTTAGGGTTTGGGTCTAAACCACAGGGTCTTAGGCTTAGGGTTCGGGAGCTCGGCTGAGCGATCCTAGCGTCTTAGAACTGGGCCTAAACCACAGGGTCCTAGGGTTCGGGAGCTCGGCTGAGCGATCCTAGCGTCTTAGAACCGGGCCTAAACCACAGGGTCAGGGTCCTAGGGTTCGGGAGCTCGGCTGAGCGATCCTAGCGTCTTAGAACTGGGCCTAAACCACAGGGTCCTAGGGTTCGGGCGCAGAAGCGGTGGTGACTTCGCTGGCCCGAAGCAAGGCAGCGACGGGATGCAGTGGAGGAGAGCCGCAGCCGAACTAGGTCCAGGATCGTAAGCTTGGTCGGGGAAGCCCCAACTCGATAGGTTCACAAGCGCATTCGGCGATCGTTCGTCGCGGGATTTCTGGGTTGCCGAGTGCTGTAAGTGCTTAAGGTGGGGGAAAGGGCACAAGACAACTCCTCCTATTGGGGTTCGGGTCTAAACCACACGACACAGGGTCCTAGGGTTCGGGTGCTCGGTTCACTCGCTGGAGGAAGAGCTGTCTGAGGACGAGGATGACGACGAGCTGCTGCCTGATGAGGAAGATGGAGCAGCAGCCTTTGGCGCCGCTGCCGCACGTGCGCTTGCACTTGCACTTGCACGCTTCCGCTTTCTACTTGGCACAGCAGATGAGGCAGCAGACGGATTGGGCCGAGGATCAGACGGCTCAGCAGAAATGCTATCAACCCGGCAAGCAATCATGGTAGCCTCGTCTGGGAGCTCCTCCAACACGGGATGATAAGCCTGGTGGCTGACCTTGTCCTCGAAGAGGAAGACACTGTTGCACCAGTGCCGGACACGCCATAGAGTCGTCATCTCCTGTGCTTCGTCATCAGGATTAAAGGACATTGTTTTCGTGCACTTCTTGTTTCCGAGAGTATGGGCCGGATGAGGGCACGTGGCCTGCCACGACTGCACCGGTTTAGCCTTGCCCTGCTTCTGAATCTTGTGCGTTATCAAGAAAGCTCCCCAACGGTGTGTCTTGTCTTGGCGACGCCTAGCCAGCAATTCATCGGCGGGCTGCGGCCGCTCAGGCCGCTCAGGAACAGCAGCTTGTGCAGCCCCAACATCGGAGGGTTCTTCATTCAGAATTGCCAGGGCCTCGTCTATTGCCTGGTGATCTCTCTCTCCAACCAAAGGCGACTCCACTTCCACAGCATGTCCTGGTTCCAAAAACGGCGGATCCTCGGACAAGACGGAATCACGGTCGTCCTGGTCCTGATCCCCTGGAAGCTCTGGAGCACCAACAACAGCAGGAATGGGACGTGGCTGGGCAGGTCCAGGCTCACTAGCTAGAAACAAACGATCACGGGCAACAGCACGAGACGTCTCTTTCGGCTCCAGATCGGTTAGTGCCTGAAGTGATGCCTCACCAGAAGCTACCTGAAGAAGGCACTGAAAGTACTTCACAGACGCAAGATGGAAGATTCTTTGCACACCAAGGGCTATCAGTGCATCACGGTTCTCGTGGATGGCTAACATGGCACGCAGGTAGTGCCTGGACACCACAGGTACTTTCTTTTTGAAGTACCAAGTCTTGCCCGGCCGAGAACCATCCTCCGAAGCTGAAGCTTCCTCTGCAGGGCCATCTGGCAAACGGATCTGCATTTCCAAGCCTTTCCGCTTCTTGTGGGTGGGCAGCTGCAGAGCTACCCAACCTGCATCTCTCAAGCATGCCATGATCTCGTAGCGGGTCCACTGGCCTCGGTCGTCAAGCAGTCGCGGCTGCAAAACCGATACCGGATGGGTTAGTGCCACACGAGTCGAAACCCACTTAAGGGCTTCTGCAGTTAGGCACCAGCCTTCAGCACTGCAATCTTGCGCGGCCCAGCCGCGGTCTTTCATCTGCTGCAGGATTTGCAAAGACGAGTCAGCCGATTTGATGCGAGAACGTCTGAAAGCCGGTTTCAGCAACACTTTTCCCGAACCGGCCACAGCATCAGAAGACATGAAATCCGTGACGACCCGATCCATGCTCGCCTGATCGGCAAGAATCAGAGGTCCCGTCCAAGCGAACCTGACCCGACTCGAAGACTTAAAGCGAAAAACTGAGTGCTGAAAGAGTGCATCATTTATGATGGCACTGGCTGCTGCCAGCGACCCTTCAGAGCCTTGAGGCTTTCCAGTCGTATACAGGACTTTGGCATCAGGCTTTACATCACAGCCGACCACTGGAAACATGGTTACAGCCACATCTGAAGAAGTCAGTGTTGTCATGCAAGACCCTTTGACTTGCTTCAGCAAAGACGGCCTCCAAGACTGGACTTTGAACAAGACACAACGACGAAATCGTTCATCAGCGACTACAGATTGCTCATCACACATGTGGCTGCCCCACGTAGATGCTACGGCAGCGCTATGATCCTGGCCCCGGTCGCAAGGATCAGCTTCGATCAATGCCACCTGACCCGCGTCATCGAGACATGCATCCGCAAACCTGGCATTGCCAGCCAAAGTGCATTGCAACTGACGAAAAGGAAACTCGTTTGCCGGCATGCCTGCAGCAGCATCTTGCAGTGTGGCCGCAAAGAAATCACATGATGAAGTGGCTGTAACACGGAAGTGCTCCAAGGCTAGGTGGCGCTGCAAAGAGTTTGTGTCTGCAATCGTCAGCGGCAACTTGGACGCCGACTTGGCCTGGCCATGCGTCTGCTTGGCATCAAGGACATCTTCCCAGTCGGCGAACTGCGTAGCTGCATCGAGCCGGAACATAACCCTATCTACAAACCCGAAAGACTGCAGCTGCTTGTCGGCTTGCTTTTTAGAAAGACTGTCCAAGGCAGTAACAGAAGCATTGCTCTTGAGCCCCAAGTGCTCAAGAACAAAAACTGGCAACCGCAATCGGTCAAAATGCTCTGCCAATTCGACCAACGTCTTAGGATCCTGAGCCGCGTTGTCCATGATTGCGGCTGACCTCAGCACGTTCGCAACGTAAGCCCCGCGATGATTCGGAGCTGTTTCTGTAGCACGTTTGACAACAGCATGGCGTCCCTCTATTGACCTTTCCAGCAGGGGAAGGAAGGCAATGGGTCCCAGCACAGCACGCAGCTGGAAACAATCGTCGGAATCGCGAGGCGACCCCTGCCCAAAACGAACGAGCGAGTCTCGAACATTGGAGTCTGACATGAATGCATGGCACAGGGGGTGGGCACTCGCCTTGTCCGGTTTTGACATAAATTCCCACTCGCCCAGCAAGCGACGGCAGGCAGCACGAGCCGTCGTTTCGGACGGATGCGCAAGGGCCAGAAAGGAGTGTGGCATGGCTGTCCAGTTCGCAAACTTCAACTGCAACATGAAGCTGAAATGCTGCAAACCTGCAACATATTCCGTGAACAGATCGGAGTTTGAAGGAAACACATCGGCAGCTCCTTGCAACTGATCACGCATGAAAGAAACCACGAAACCAGCGGCCAGCTCAGGAGCCCTCCTGCCTTTCATCGGGCAGGCAGCGTAGTGTTTGCACCTATCCTCATCGTCCTGGGCCGCTGCTTCACGTGGGTGGCAGGGACATGATTGAAACCATACCAGGAGCTCATCTGAGATGGCGAAGAGTTTGCGAAGCATGCTCATGTACTGCCAAACCTCAGCATTCTGTACCGCCGAATCAAAATTCTGAGATCGAACTTTGCCTCGAACTGCATCAGCAAGCACTTTGCTGCTCTCCGAGCTCTCCTGAGGACCTACAGGAACCAGTACATCAGCGGCCTGAGCAGCGTCGTCAGGACCGGCAGCCTCCTGAGCAGGCTCACCTGAAAGAGAATCATTCCGAAACTTCCCACTAAACGCCCGCAGACTCCAGAATTGCCGCAGGGGCAACTCTAGGGGTTCCATTGCGCTCAAGAAGGATGAAACACTCTGCCACCTCCAGTCTAGAAGCCGCTCTCCAAAGGAAGCAAACTTTGCTCGATGCGCAGCCGCATCTCCTTGACCAAAACACCTTTCTTGCAACCCCTGCCGGACATGATGATCACAAAGGAAGACTGACATGGCTTGAAAGTGAGGCTTGTGCTTCCGAAACGAAGGCAATGCCTCACACATGTCCTCACACATGTTGTGCATAACATGATGGATGCCGGGTACTGCCAACGATCGTGCAAAACTCAGCAGAGGCCACGGATCACTGAGTTGACCCGGCCCATCAGTCTCACAGAACTGGCTGCACCCGAGCTGCGGGCAAACTAGCTCCGAAGAAACTTCCATGCCTGGCAATCCTGCTTCTGTTCCAAAATCTGAAGTGAAGGAAGACACCGCTTGAACAACTTGAGGTAAGCATGCCCCTGCCGCAAGCCAGAAACTATGAAGCAGCCCATGAAGCTTGTGGTGTAAATTGGATCGCTGATGACCCAGTCCTGCTGGCGGCAGTACAAGAACCTCAACAGCATCGGCCAGCTCCTGTTCTGCTGCGACCAATTCCTGACAGAGATCTTCGTCCAGGTCGTCGCCGCCACTTGGATGCAGCTCGCAGATCTTCCAAAACAGCAGAAGCATTCTTTGCAAAGGCACTCGATGACCCAGCATGTGCACTTCAGACAGCAACCAATCGCGGCCCCCCTGAGGGCTGCTGTCTACGAGAACATGCATTGCGATAGGAACTGAAGCAGGCTGTGGAAGCTCCCTGCACTGAAAACATTTGGCTAGACGGGAACGCAGCTGCAAGCAGGCTGCTGCTTCGAAGAGCACACGCCAACGAGACAAAGTTGCCGCATGGGGCATGGGGGATTGTTCTAACATCTGCAGCAAGTCGTTTGCAATGCATTGAGGAAAAGCCATCATGATGCCCTGCTTCAGGGCACTTTGAAGTTTCGCCGCATCCCGCAAAAATGAGGAAAACAGCACTGCCTGTATCGCAAACCACCCCGTGTACCGTCCGGTCAACTGCTGCTGCTGCTGCTGCTTTGGTTTAGAACGGATTGCAGTAAGCATCTTTGCAGATCGGTGACGGAGCACCTGGCGAGGTGCCCATGCACGAAGGCGCAAGCGAGCACCCTGACCCAAAACACCCTTCTGAAGTCTGGAAGTCTGGACTCTGGTGGAAGCGAGGTACACCGGGTCCAGCTGATATGCCAGGCGACTGGCCCAACCTCTCATCATCGACAGTTCCTGCGACACCTCGGCGCGGCGTTCGGGGCTCCCGGCCGTGGCAGCTGCCAGCAACGTAGCCCAACCATCCATGGCATGAACGAGATTTCTGAAGGCTCCAGACGTCAACTCGGAAGATGCACTGTCGGGCCTTGGTTGGGGAGGCGCTCCCGCTCCATCTGCCACACGCTCAGCGTGAGATTTGACCCTTGCACACAAAGCAGAATCCGGAATGTGCTTTGGCAGCTTTCGGCGCATGGAGACTGCCACGAAACTCAGATTGCTATGCATAAGCAATAGGCACAAAGGCTTTGGCACAGCCAGGGCATGCTTCAACTCTGCATTTGGCCCTAGCACACCCGAAACTTTCCAAGCCTGAAGCAATGGCTGGGCCTTGGAAGCCACTTCCTCTGCACTGGAGCGTCCGAGCAGGAACAATGCCGGAGCACTGTCCCTGCGCCCAAGAGCTGTCATGCTGGAAACACAAAGGATGCCTTCCAGCGGCTCCACAGCAACAACCTGCCAGTGAAGGCGCTGCCAATGAGGGCCTTCCAAATCCCGCCACCACAAATCCTGTTGCACATCCAAGGGATGCTGCAACGTGAGCTCTGGGGCAACACGCACGAGTGCCAAGCAAACGGACATTCGGCAACCGTCGTCTTTACACAGCCCAGCGACATCCTGACCCTCAAAGTTGGGCAAGCTGCTGAGACAACGAACACACGAATCCAGAGTTTGCTGCGAAAGGCTGCCTCGCCAACGAACCTGCCGACCCTCCGCGACCCCCACATCCGATCGCCTCCCTGACTTCTTCTGTCGATTTCTCCAACTGCGTTGTGCATCACTGCTTCTATCATGGGTGCAAAGCAAGAGTGGCCATGTGACATAATCGCATACTTCCAAAATATCCATCGGCCAAGAAGCTGAAGAAAAACTCCGGACTCCAGCCCAGGCGCACTATGCCACACAGCGCTACAACATCAAAGAAGGCACTGCGCTCCTACTTCTGCACTTCCGATAACATGAACTTCTTCCGAGAATGACACTACTGCATGAGTTGTCCCATTAGTCCCATGTTCACAATCCTGAGTCAGCCTGAGTCCTGACCTGAAAGAAAGGCCGGGCACAGCAGAATCAAACTCAAACATGCATCGCTCTCACGGGTCACCAAATGCACATGCGTACTCTGAACTCTGAAGCACGTCCGGCTTTTTTGAAGCAGGCGGTACGTCAGCCGGCTGTGCAACTTCAAAAACCTGACCTGCTGCGTGAAGGCGGCTGCTCGTTTTAGGCTTCGGTTAGGGTTTTAGTTTTAAGGTTTAGGGCTGAGGGTTTAGAGTTTAGGGTTCACGATACTAAGTTACCAATGCTTCTAAGAAAAAGTTTGAATTAAAATAATATACCAAAACCCAGTACCCAACGCGATCGCCGCAGAAACATCCAGAAACATAACATAAAAACCAAGATACAACATCAATCGTAGGGATCCTCATTGGGTTGCGAACCAAACCAAGACAACACAAACAGAACTTGTGATAGAAAACTCCTTCTTGTCCAGTAAACTAGACACTTTTCTTGGCTTCCAACTTGAATCGTTAGCCCCATTTTGTTAATTATGGTTTTAGGCTTTAGGGTTTGAGGTTTAGTGCTCAGTGTGCAGTGTGCAATTACAGATACAGCGAGCCATCGCAGCAGATCTTTGTCATGTGCCAAAAGCACGGACACAGAAAGTCCCGCGGCAGACTGACTCGTCCTTACGCCGATGCTCTGCGTTGGTCACAGTTTAGCAAGTTTTGAATCGTACTGACGCGGCACTCCAAAAGGTTCAGCCCTGCATGACCCCAAAGGCCCCTGGAATGGCTTACTTCTGCCTCAGTGAAGAATCGCCTTGCGAATGCCGAGGTCGTGTCGTGCAGGTAAGAAATCTTTTCGATATTGTTCAGATAGAAAAGAGCAGTGTGCTGCTCGGGGGCATTCACAAAACGGTAGGGCTGCTTGGCCTGCAAAGTGACACGGACCCTGCACGAAAGATCATTGGAGGTTTCGACCACAAGCCGGAACGTCACGACCCGGATTGGCTTGCACATGTACGAATCTCGGACGAGAATGTGGTTGTACACGAGATAGCCATGCTCGCGCCTCATGCTGATTACAATTACAAGATTACAAGTTACAAGTTGTAAACTTTCAAGCTGGAACGGCTGAAACTGAAACTTCACAAGCGGACTCAGACAAATCAGGGCCCTGCAAGAGCCTACAAGTACACAACAACATAAAACATATCCAGGTACTCACGTCGCTCCAACACGTACTTGTGAGTCGAAAGCAGCCCAGAGCGTTTGAAGTGCATGTGCCAGGGACCTCCTTCTGTGCGATCAAGAACCAAAGCCAATGCATTCGACTGGATCTCTGACATCTCCATCCACGACAAACATGGCAACATGTCGCGAAAGAGGTCCTGTGGATCAACAATGTCAGCACTTGGGATCGGGGCATACTCCCACTTCAGCTTCGGTCTTGGGGAGCCCAAGTCCCCAGCGCAAACCTCAGCCTCAGCTACCTCTGGGAGGCCCTGAGCCTCAGCCATCCTACCTAAGGCTACGACACTTGAACTCGGACCAGGATACTGCAAAACTGCAAGGAGCTGCAAGATCTCAAGTGCTATCGCAACACGTTTGCAGATGCAGACTCAGAGGCGCAACCTTTTGCACTGCCTCACAGCCTAAAATTCCTAAAATCACTCGAGCGGTCTGCAAACATGAAAAGCGGCGGCTCGGAGTCTCGGAGTCTCCAGTCTCCGCCATCTCAACAGTCAAGAGTTTCATCGGCTGCATCATCGGAAAATCGGACACAGCACCTGGGCGATGTGAAGCGAAGTGAAGGCTTGGTGGTCTCTAAAGACTGCGAGGTTACGACGTTGTGAAAGTGTTGATTCTTGCAAACTCAAGCACAGCATCACCGGAGAATCGCTGCCGGGCCATGCGTCATGCGAAGTGCAAACGAAGCCTTAGCAAGGCTGTTGGGACCCACGTAGTTGAAAATTGAAAACAGTACTAACTCTATGCTTCTGCTGTCGGTCCCAGGAACACGAGCCAGCACCAGAATTGCCAGGCATTGCCAAGTCATCACGATTACCAGTGAATCATCCAATGAATCACCAGCATAGTGAATCGGAAAATAACCTTGGATGCTCTTAAACTCAACACAATCAACACGACGCCAACAAACATCCCAGCAGTCCTTTCCTCATTTTCCGACCTCGGGAGCAGCAATAGAAAAACATCAAACACGTTTGCCAAGTTTGGTACAACCTACAAACCAACAGCCTACAGGATGCTTGGTCAGGGTGGTGGCTGGACAGATGTTCCACACCGCCCTGAGGCCTCTGTCCAGGCGCGTTGACGCTTTTTTTTAAGGTGGCGCGTCTTCCCCAGGAGGCCTACTCTTCCACCGCTTCAAAGAGCATTTCTGAACAGCAGCAAGTGACGGCTTCAGTCGCCAATCCGCGAAGAGGACAGACCTTCAAGCGACAGTGGGGCCGGGGTTCCCGGGAATCGGGCTGGGGTGCAGGGCACTCTAGATTTACACGACACTCCTGCACTCGCACACGGACCAAGAAACACCAAGCCCCCAAACCCGAAACAAACCCCTTCAAAGCAAAGCCGAGGCCCAGGCACAGGAGGTCGAAGAAAAAGTCGAGACCTGGGCGAAGGGGGAGGTTCGGAAATGCAGGGCACTCTAGTTACGCGGGCGGGGCGCTACCGGACAGAGTGCAATCCTAAGGACACTCCTGCAGTCGCACACGGACCAAGAAACACCAAACCCCCAAACCCGAAACAAACCCCTTCAAAGCAAAGCCGAGGCCCAGGCACAGGAGGTCAAAGAAAAAGTCGAGACCTGGGCGAGGCGGCGTGGGCTACGAGGCTACCGGGCGCAGAAGCACACAGAGCAATGCAGGGCAGCGAGAGGCAGCCTAGGGTAACCAAAAGGGTTAGGGAAGGGAAACCCGGAACACAGACCAACCCAAGCAAACTGAGGCCCCGACACAAGCTCACCTACCCGCCCAACCGCCCGCCGCTACCCCCGACCCCTACCCTTGAACCTGCGAGCGCGGAAAGAAAGTCAAGCGCAGGGCTGAAAGGAAGGGAGCCAGTGGGTTGGGAAGCAAACCAGAGAAAGGGCAGCACACGGCACATCCGCTCAGATTCGCTTTTTAGCTGGCGAGGGCTAGGCTGCCAGGCGAAGTTTGCAGCATCTTATGCGCTGCGAGACCGATCCTACGAGCACACAGGACATTCAAAACTGATGCCAGTCGCCGTAACCCATGCAACCTTCGAGGACGCAGCAGGTTAAGGGAATGAGCAGCTATTGAATAAAAGCCGTACAGGTAGGAGTGCCAGGACTCAAGGCAGCGTCAGCATAGGTCAGGCCTTCAGCGGCGCCTGCGTGCGGCTTCTCGCACGGCGAATCCCTTCCGGGCTTTCAGAAGCCTCAAAACAAGGCTCATATTGGCATCGGCCTGTTCCTCAAGCGTGGTGCGGTAGTCAGCCCGGTATCCAACCGAGCGGAGGTGCACGTCGACCCCCGTGACGACATATGAGTCGAAGCGGTCCTGAAGGCCGGCGCAAGTTGCCCCGGACTCGTTGCAAACGAAGCTGATGGTTTCATCCCCCCGCACATCGCCGCAGCACTCGAAGACATTATCCCGGAAAACGCGAAGGGGTGCCAGGATGGACCTTGTCGACCATCGACGAGCAGCAGGCGACCCGTCGCTGGCAGCACCGGACATGGTGGGCGCCTATGCTGCACGCACGACTGTCGCCTAGGCCTATGCTACTGTGCCACTTATGCTGCTGTGCAGCCTGCTGTGCTGCTAATGTGTTATGTGTGCCGCCTCCACGCTGCTTGCATGTGCATGTTCCCTAGAGAATTCTGCGCCTGTCGATGCTAGCTACCTTCGAGGAGCGAGCGCGGCACCCGAAGCTCAATGCAGAGACGCTTGGGCGGGGAGCCTACGGGTTAGGGACGCAGGGCACTTGCAAGGCAGACGGGGAGCAAAGCCTACTGCAGGGCCGAAGGGGTTCGGGTGCCCTGAACCAAACCAAAAACCCCGGCAAAAGCACTCTAGCAAATTGTTACTGCAAAAGTCGGCGGGCCTAGCTAGAATACCATTACAAAATGAAAACAAAAATGGCATCATGGAGCAAAGCGCGAGCACCACCGAGCATTTAACTGCAACACCCACCCCGGCCCCGCCCACTCGCCCCACCAACCGACAACCCGCCCCCTCCCGAGCTCAAGGCCCCAGGCCTTGTCCCTTTAACCTTCCTCTGCCGCCCCTGTCACCAAGTCAGCGAATTTGTTTAAAATGTTTTCTGGCAGGTCTTCCACACCACCCAAGAGGTGCCTGCCCAGGCGCCTTCGACGATTTTTTTAAGGTGGTACGTCTTCCCCAGTAGGGATACTCTTCCACCGCTTCAATAAATTCTTCCACCGCTTCAAAGAGCATTTTTGGCTCATACAAAAAGACGACATACCTGCCAAACATATTGAAAATGCGTTTTTGGCTCACACAAGAGAGCAACATACTTACAAAATGTGAACAGCAGCGGTTTAACGTTTAGGGTCAGACAAGAAGACAACACACTTGTCAAACGTATTCAGTAGCGTTTTTGGATAACACAAGAAGACAACATGCATCGGGAATCTGAACAGCAGCGAGCAGCCCTCCCCAGAACCCTTCTGCGCAAGTCAGCACCTGGGATTGGACCAGTTCCTTGAAAAGTACGACCATCTGGTCGAACACACGAAGTTAACGGACTTCGAAGACTTCGAGAACTGGCACCTCAAACTGGCAGGGGAAGCACAGCACGTTCGCTTGCTTTGCTGCCCCGAAGATCACAGATGCACAAGGAATCCAGAGCATCCACGCGCCAGAGTTCTGTGCGAGCATTGCGAGGTGCCGGTTTGTCGCAGTTGCCTGGACTGCTTGGGCAGGAAGAAGCTGCCTCCGGCGAGCCTCGCAAATGACATGTGGACAGGCTACGGCCCCGAAAGGCTTTACCAGGACAACGTGACGGTCATGGAAATGTTGTGCGCCAGTCCCTACATCACGACCCTCGTTTGCTTGACGATGGAGGCTCGCTACCGGGCGGAGGGAGCGCCCTTGGACCAGACGGCTCACATGCCGCGCCATCGTTTGGGCGCCCGTGGCAATGCGATTACCTTTCCTTTGCCTTGGGAGGACCTGCTTCGTAAGCTGGAGGGCCAGGACACCAGCCCTTCCGACTTACCCCGGAACCCCAACGAGCTCTCAGACGTCGTCCGGGTGATCCTCAAGACCAACAAGACGGGCCAGACTTCCGAGGCGGACTTGAAGAACTTGATTCACCAGGCAAGAGTCCGGCGGCACGTGGTGGTGCAGCTCATCTTGGACATGCGCCGTTGCGGACACCCTTCCTTCCAAGAAATCCAAGAAGAGAAAATCAGGGAGAAGGCAAGCTCGCTGCCGGAGGACGGTGTGCCGCCCGAAGTCGTGAAGATCTTCGGCGAGCTGGACGACTCGCAGGAGAAGCTGCAGCCGCAGAAAGCCGCCACGCCGGTTGACGGCCTCAGGAGCATCGATCAGGCAGGGAAACTTTAACGAGAATTTGTCAGCGGCAGAGTCTTGGAGCAAGCAAACCGGTTTGTCAATTGAGCAGCGTGCATCCTGCAGTCAGGCCGGCGCCACCTTCTCGGCGCAGCGGCCGCGAGCCATCGTGGCGGAGGGCAGCAGCCTCGACCGACAGGACCAAAATGCCGTGGGCATGGCAGCTCTCACAAGTTTGGAGGCAGTGGACAAGATTGCAGAGAGGAAAGCAGAGACCTTGGTGGCGACCACGGGGAACGTTCTCGTCGACCAGTTCCAGCCCCGCTACTTCGCCATGGCCTTCGCCTTCTGCTTCAAGCACGGCACCGCGTGTCCAGACGTCCTCAACAAGAAGAACCCATCGGTCAGTCGGAGGCGTCAGAAGGATTCCGCTGCCCCGACCGTCGACATCCACGACTGGGCTGCCATCATGGGCCGCCGAGTGGAAGCCCAGTTCCGTCGAGACTGGAACTTCGGCTTCGTTCTGTGGAACTATCTCTTTCGCACGATGGTGAACTTGGATGGCAGCACCTCCTTGTACTCCCAAGGCGGCAAGAAGATGACGGGCGAGGAGTTCCTTCAGGGGTCGACGGAGCTTCGAGAGCAGCTGCAGCGCGGGAAGTACGTGGACATCACCGGCGCCCAGAAGAGCGTGCAAGGCGACTTCTCCAAAGTCCAGCACGTGCCGGGACTATCGGCTACTGCGAAAAAGATAGCGCAGGACGTCAACGCCAAGTGCCGCAACATCCCAGGGACCCACGAGACCAGGAACCTCATGCGGCAGCAGACCCACGCATACAGAGTGTGTTACGGCACTTCCGTCTTCCTGACCTTTTCGCCCTCGGAGAGGGATTCCACGCTGATGCTGAGGCTAGCGAGAACTCGAGACACGGACCCCGCCCTGCAGCAGAGCGGCAAGCCGACTTGTCAAGAAAGGAGCCAACCGCCGCTGGACCAGGATTTCATGGAGCTGGACCCTCAGGTGCTGGCCACAATCCTGCCAGACTACGACGAGCGGAGGGCGATCCTGGCCAGAGACCCTCTTGCCTGTGCTGATGGCTTCTGGACGTTGGTGCAGTTGGTGTTGCGGCATCTCTTCGGGATTCGCTGGTGCCCAAACTGTCCGAACTGCGCCAAGTCGGACAAGCCCTGCACGGACGCATTCGGGAGCAATGCCACGGCCACGGGCGGAGTACTGGGCAGAGTGGATGCAGCCTTCGGTTCCATCGAATGCCAGAAGAGCGGCGCTCTACACGCTCACTTCCAAGTGTTCTTGCAGTGCCTCCACCAGTACACGCCCCTCTCGGAGATCGTGGCCATGGGCAGAGAAGCTTACATGGATTTGGTGGAGAAGTACAAGGCCTACAACGCCCACGTGAGGCGCACCGTGTACTGCAATCCGGCGGTCTGGCAGAAGGAGCGCGACGCCGTGGAAAAGGAATGGCCGGAGTACCGGAGCTCAGTCCTCATGCTCAGTCGGCCCGGTTATCAAAGCGATGCCCTGCTCTCCGCGAAAGCCTGGAAACAGAAACACTTGGAGGAGGACGTGGAGGAGCTCCAGAAGCACAAGCAGCACCACGTCCATTTGCCGAAGGACACGGATCCGCAAGGGCCCAGACTTCCTCTCTCGCATTGCCGCGATAAGCGGGACCCGACGAAGTGCAAGTCCGGCTTCCCGCGCTACAACCAGCTGACCGAGGAGACCTTGATCGTTTGCGAAGGGCTGGCCAAGCAGATGGACATGCCCATCAAAGGCAAGAAAAGCATGCTCGGCTCCCTCTGGGGTCCGGTGAACGACCCGGAGCTCAACGGCACCCACCCTGCCTTGCTGGCGGCGCTTCGCTGCAATTCCGATCTGCAGCTGCCCTACCGCTTCCCGATCAACGAAGACATTCACAGCCACAAATGCCAGGACGAGAGCTGCCGCGGAAAAAGCCAAGCCGTGCGAACCTTGGTTCGTGAAGCCCAGCGGAACCAGGCCGCCCAGGCGGGCTATGGCTGCGACTACCAGAACAAGCGCCTCCCCATCGCCATCCACGAGATCAAGGAGTGGAACAAGGGGAACAAGGAGCTCGCAGAAGAGCTAAAAGGCAAGCCAGCCGGGTACGTGGCCTCACGGGTGGAGAACCGCTTCATCACAGACAGCTTCGGTCGAGGTGTTTGTCGCGGTGCCGTGGAATGCAGCAACCTCATCACGCGGAGCAAGCACGGCGACCCCGTGGAAGCGGAGTCCATACGCACCGCGCCAGTCGTGGGCCTTCCGCTGTGGTACGGCTTGAACCTGCTGCAGGCAGCCGCCGACGCGGAAGCCTGGCCCGCAGAGCCGCAGCGCTGGACCACGGAACCCAAGTGGAGAAAGCAGCAGCAGCCGCGAGCGGTGAGGCACTGTCCGTTCTGGACGCTCTACGGCTCCCGCGGCCGAGATCCGCGCGTCCATGAGCTGTCGGCGTACGAGTTTGCCATGCACTTCGAGTTCAAGAGAGCGACCCATCCCTGGAGCATCAAGTCGGACGATGACGGGGAGAAGCACCACCCGCTCCGCCACGAGGCTCAATTGACGGAGGCGGGCAAGGAGAAAGTGCGCTGGCATCGCTTCCAAGCCAAGCTCTCGCCGGGGGTCGATTATCGCATTCGGGAGCCTGGCCCCGACGAGGAGTGGATCCCCTTCGGCGAACCCGAGCTCGCCCAGCCTTTCAAGCACGACTGGGTCATGGTGCCGCGCAAGCGGCCGTACGTGCCGGTGCTCTTCGGCGCGCAGGGCGGCAACCAAACCGCGGACGACCAGGCCATGAAGCTCCTTCTGCTCTTTCGTCCTTGGGTGAATGATCGCCGAGACGCCTCGGAGGACGACCTCGTGGCCTTCGGAGACCTGTCTGCTCGCGACCAAGGGGCCACGGACTGGCTCCAGGCCGCGCGGCTCTGGCTGGGCCGACGCGGCTTCCCCACAGAGTCCGTGAAGCGCTATGCCGCCCAGCTCTGCTTCGTCCATTGCCTGCCGCGGGAGCTCCAACCCGGCACGGAGCTGGAAGCCAACAGCGACAACGAAGACTTGGAGGACGTGCCCTGCTTCTTCGACCAGGACCTTGCAAGCCCAGGTAGTGAAGCATTTTTGCAACGACCATTGCCCTTGAGCTTGGTTTTAAATTCTAGGCTTGAGTCGGTGCCCGCAGGACGACCTCACACTCGCCATGGAAACGCACGTTCGAGGGGGGTCTGGCGACGCGGGCAAGGAGGTGCAGACGCACGCCGACCGCACCAAGCAGATGTTCGCGCTGTCGCAAGCCATTTGGCTGGAAGGAAACGATGAAGGTGGACCCGACTCGGAGGCCAGGAACAGGTTCCGCGAGCTATCCGCCAAGGATCCCGTGACGGACCATAAGCGGGCGAGGCAAGCCGCCATCGACTCGCGGGTCCGAGGCGACAAAGGACAGGATAGACGAACCACGCACAGGGACGAGCGAAGCCCCGAGGTGCAGGCTCAGGAGCCCGTGACCGCCGCCAAGCTCCTCGACTGGCTCCACAGCGACCGAGTGCGCGGGGCCGTGAATGCCAAGCAGCACGAGTTCCTCGAGCTCGTCGTGGACAGAGTCATGGTGGAGCTCAACCTCATCAGACCGGGGGATTCCATCCGGAAGACTTCAGAGCCGTTGATCTGGTTGCTCCACGGGCCGCCCGGCGTCGGCAAGTCCCACATCCTGCAGTTCCTCCGCGAGCTCTTCGAAGACTTGCTCAAGTACACCCAGGGCCACGAGTACGAGGTCGTGGCGCTCCAAGCAGTGAACGCGGTGGACATCCGAGGCAAGAACATACACAGGGCCTACGGCTTCAGCAAGAGTGGGCAGCCGACCGAGGGAGACAATCCTCTCGTTCAGGCCATCCGCTTCAGGCGGTGGGTGATCGTGGACGAGATCAGCATGGTCAGCGCGAAGCTCTTGGCCCGCATGGAGCAACGACAGCGGGAGAACAAGAGCAGCAAAGACGAGTTCAAGCTGGACGGTCACGGGCGTGAAAGAGATTTCGGCGGCATCAACATGATCTTCATGGGCGACTTCTTCCAGTTCCCGCCGCCGGAGGGCGGCTTCATTGCGGACGTTCCCCACAGCTTGAAGTCTGCCACCGGGGTCGACAAGAGCACGGACCCTCTCGTCGAGCGCGGTCGGGACCTTTTCTGGCGCGGGGCGGTCCAAGGCGTCACCGAGCTGACGGAAACTCTGCGGTGCTCCGACGAGTGGTGGAACGAGGTGGTGGAGCAACTTCGGCATGGCTGCCTGTCGGAAGAGAACTGGAAGTACTTGCACGGCATCCCTGTGGAAGGCTGCACCCTGTCGGAGGCGGAGAGGCAGTCGCGCCGCAGAGTCATCATCTCCGACGCAGATCAGCGGCTGCAGGAGGCCAAGTTCCGGAAGGCGGTGGTCATCGTGGCCAATAACGACGCTCGCTACCAGATCAACAAAGACAAGGCGAGAGCCTACAGCAAAGAGTCCGGAGCTCCTCTCAGGTGGTCGGTGGCCAAGGACGTGGCGGAGGCCAAAGCTCTTCAAGCCGAGGACTGCAGCAAGGAGGCCAAAAGAAAATGGCTGCAGTACCACGACCGACATACGGGAGATCTTTGCGGCCTGCTCCCCCTCGCTATCGGCATGCCCGTCGCCCTCACCGACCACGTGGACCGGTCCGACAAGTTCCTGCTGCGCGGGCGCTGCGGTCACGTGCATTCCTGGGTGTGGCCCGAAAACGACCAGCAGCCCGAAGTGGTGTACGTCAAATTCCCGGACGTCAAGTTTCAGCTTCCCGGCACGCCCGAGCCCGGCATCTATCCCCTGCGGCCTGTAACAGAAACATGGTATCTGGACCACGGGCGCGAACACCCTGTCCTGAAGGTGAAACGACGCTTAGCTGCATTGGCCTGAAGAACCGTCCGTTTCAAATATTTGTCAGGACTTGCAGGTAGTCCACTGTGCCTTGCAGCTCTTCTTGAAAGCAGCTTGAAAACAGCTGGCCAGGAATATGAGAATTTAGATTGATTGTAGACCAATCTCGCACCAAAAGTCCTGAAGGAAAGCAGCTGCAGCTGACCCCGGCCTTCGCGATGACGGCTCACAGCAGCCAGGGCAAGACGCTGGATGCCACGCTGCTCGACCTGAACGTGGACAAGAACGTCCACCAGACCCTGGGCACCGTGGCGGCGAGCCGTGTCCGCAGCCGCGAGGACGTGCTCATTCTGCGCCCCTTCCCACTCTGGCTGTTCCAGCGCGGAGCGCCCGAAGGGCCCGATCTGCTGCTGAAGACTCTCCGCAAAGAGCGCGTCGATTGGAAGGCCTGGCGCGAGAGCAGGAACCCCTTCGCTGCCTGCGGCAGTTGTGGCCACGTGAAAGACTTCGCGAACTTCTCCTTCGTCGAGTGGGGCAAAGTGCGAGCCAACAGGGCGGCCAAGTGCTTGCACTGCGAGAAGGGCGGCAAAGGCTCCATCAAGCGCAAGATCAGCGGGGACTCCGAGATCTTCACCAAGCACTTGTGCGACGTTTGTGGTTGCCACAAGATGGCGGCGGCATTCCCGGTGGCGCAGCTGCGCCAGCAAGGAGGACCGGATGTCAAGAAGGTGTGTACACAATGTGCTCGCAATCAATGCACCCTGACATGCTCTATCTGCGGAAAGACCAAGCCTGCCAACGCTTTCGAGTCCACCATGTGCACCCTGCCACCTGGCTGCGCGGCATGCAAAGACTGCCAAGAGGAGGTGCATCCGAAAGCGAAGCGCCTCCGAGGAGGCTGGTTCCTATGTCAAGGTTGCAAGCAGTCCTTTCCCCTGGTTGCAGCAGGCAATGCCAGCAATAATCATTGCTTGAACTGCGCAATTCACGGCACCAGGGCTCCTAAAGGATGGCACAAGTGCCAGAACCAGCAATGCCAGAAGGTATTCCAAGAAATTCGTGCACCAGGAGACTCGCGGCCAAAGCTTTGTCCGGAATGCAGAGTCTCGAAACAGAAGCGACTCCGCAAGTGAAATTTATGTAGGTTACACTTGCTTGGCCCGAAATCCTACCTCAGAGGTCAGATTTGACAAGGAGCCGCTAGTGGATAAGACAAAGAATCGCGGAGTTGCAAAGTCAAGATATCGGCGGAGACCGGACGTGTGGAACGTGCATGTAGGCATAGTGGTGCTGGCAGACCTCGCAATGGACAGGGGGCAGCCACGCGAGGAAAAGTCCCGCAGCAAGGAACATGGATGGTACACGACGGCATAGCATAGACGCACTCATCAGAGCAGCTGCGCAGCCACTGGTTCGTGAAGGAAGCATATCTCACAAAACTCATGAAACCTCGACCGTTCAAAATGCTTAGACCGATAACACGAAGTAACCCAGAGGCAAAGACTGACACACAGCAATTCTGCAACTTCCAGGGCGTGCCATGACGAGGCTCGATACCGGCGCCCTAGGCCGCTTTTGGGCTTTGACGAGGCTCGATAGCGGCGCCCGAAGCCGCTTTTGGGCTTTGCACCGCTTTTTGGGCTTTGCACCGCTTTTGTGCTTTTGGGCAAGGTGCCCGGCCCCGGGCCCTGGCTGTGGGAAGGTGCCCCGGCCCCGGGTGCTCTGGCCCCGGGCCCTGGCTGTGGGAAGGTGCCCCGGCCTCTTAGCTGTGGGAAGGTGGTCCGGCCTTGGGGCCTTGGGGTTGATGGGAAGGTGCCCCGCCCCCGGGCCCTGGCGGCCCCGGGCCCTGGCTGTGGGGAGGTGCCCCGGCCCCGGGCCCTGGCTGTGGGAAGGTGCCCCGCCCCCAGCAAACCCTCAACAATAAGAAAGCCTCAATTTAGTCTAGCCCGAACCAACAGAGAGCAATCGCGGAGCAGACAACAGGGCAGACGACGAGATTGAAGGCTTATGCAACGGCCCACTAAAAGCAGTGAAACCACAAGCACCCCCAAACCCCGGCAATCCCTCAACACTAACAAAGCTTCAATTTAACCTAGCCCGAACCAAAAGAGAACAATCGCGGAGCAGACGACAACTTTTAAGACTTAAGCAACGGCCCCCTTAAAGCAGTGAAACCACAAGAACCACCAAGACCCGGCAATCTCTTAACACTCACAGGGCTCTAAACCTAACTTAACCCGAACAAACAGAAAACAATCGAGAGGCAGACGCAAAACTTTAGGACCTAAGGACCAGCCCCCCTAAAGCAGAGCAAGCCTTCGTGGGAGATGCTCGGGGCGCCTGTGAGCGCAGTCCACATGGACCCCCTTAAGGCAGAGAAAGCCTTCGGGTGAGATGCTCGCACTCGGACCCCTCCGCCTCCGAGCCCCAACCCACCTCGCACCCCTGAAACTTCGCGAGGGGGGACCCGGCCGCGCCAGAAAAGTTTGAAAGGTTTCCCGACCCAACCCGAAAAAAGTGCCGGAAAACATGATTGTCAAAAACCGCCGTTTTTACCAAACCCCAGCAAACCCATAACAATAAGAAAGCCTCAATTTAGTCTAGCCCGAACCAACAGAGAACAATCGCGGTGCAGACAACGAGTTTTAAGGCTTAAGCGCCAGCCCCTCAAAAGAAAGGGATGCAGCTGCTGGCGCAGACACCAAAACGAGAAGACGTAATGAACACTTTTGCACTTTGCGCCGAACTTTTGCACTTTGCGCGGACCCCATAGGAAAGAGAAATTGCTTCAAAGGTTTGCACTTTGCGCCGATGAACACTTTTGCACTTTGCGCCGACCCCTAGGGAAGAGAAATTGCTTCAAAGTACTAAAAAGCGGAATTGGTCAGGGCGCCAGCACTGCGCTGGCGAACCCTAAACCCTAAACCCTAAACCCTAAACCCTAAACCCTAAACCCTAAACCCTAAACCCTAAACCCTAAACCCTAAACCCTCAAGAGCAGGATAAATAGAAATTGTATGTGCAGCTTCGTTAGAAAGCGAGCCTTTGCAGCTTTTCATAGAGCGAGCCTTGTAAATCACCAATAGCAGCAATAAGCATTATACGAAGAAGGGCACAAGGCAGCAATAAACATTGTACGAAGAAGGGCACAGGGCAGAGGGCAGGGCAGGGAGCAGAGCCCGAAACAGTCCCCACGAAAGCCCGAAATAGTCCCCAGAAAAGCTTGGAACACTGCCCAGAAACCCCAAATCCACCCAGTCCCAAATCCAGGCCCCAGGCCCCAAACCCAAGCTCCAGACCCCAAATCCAAGCCCACCCAAAATGCAGGTGAGGCCCCAACTCCAGACCCCAAATCCAAGCCCCAGTCCAAATCCAGGCTCCAGACCCCAAATCCAGGTCCAGTCCCAAATCCAAGCCCCAGGCCCCAAATCCAGGCTCCCAGGCCCCAAACCCAGGCTCCAGGCACCAGCCCCAAAGCTCCAGACCCCAAATCCAGGCTCCAGACGGCCTGGTCCCAAATCCAGGTCCGAGTCCCAAATCCAGGCCCAGGCCCGGCACCAGGGCAGCAGGGCAGGGCAGGGCAGGGGGTACAGGGCAGCACA